AGTGAAAAAATGTAAACAATAAACCAACTCCATAGCGGATTCTAAGTGATCAAGGGCTTAGGACTTCCAGTTCAGCCCATTGTAAGGGTTCCACCAGAAGTGGGCACTCATGCAAGGTAATCAATGACGTACATCCGAGTAAACGAGACGGAGGGAAGTTTGCAAGTGAAGGGCATTTAAAAAAATGAACTGGAACGCAGCCCTGGAAAGACGTACATTACCTTTCTTCTGCGGGGCATGTTTGGAGTTTCAGCGCGAGAGCGCCCTCTGGCCTTTGGATGGAGATGTCTACTGATCACAGAACCGTGCTTCACTGAAAGATACGCATGACAATCACAGCTTTTGCCTAATTGCGATTGCCATGTATGGCGTTTGAGGTCATTTGTGAATTGGCATAGACTTATAGTCTAAATAAAACAATTTGCAACTGTTACTATTATTACACTTGTATACAAAACTTTGTATTATGCTTGTTATAGAGTGTGTGATGTCACGTGCACTACGGTTGACACGGTTGTCATGGCGACCGTCACAGCCCTACTGTGCAATGATGTAGTTTCCTGACATCCAGACTGAACAGCGTTTTCTCGACATGTTTCCGTGTTGCTGTTGCTCAGCAATGGCATTGACGCAATGTTGTCTGGGGGTTTGGGAAAAAAGAAAAGTGGGACTGTGGGCAGTGCTCGGGGTGGTGACTGAAGGTGGTGACTGAGTAGTTCTGACGTCACCTTTTTACAGAAGTCACAACGGGTCATGAAAAATCACAGCTACTTTATGCAGGCTGTGTGCATCTGACTGTGGATTGACTGTTTTGAAACTTATATGGTAGTTATATAGCACCTAGACCTCAGTTATCATGAAAAAAGCCAGGAAATTTCAGTTTTGACAATATGGGACCTTTAAACACCTGATTTGTTCAGGAACCAATCAAATAACTGTTTTATGACTGGATCATTAAATCATTAATTTAATTGTTTTTTAAATGCTGATTCAACGAATCAACAAATGTTGCTTGGAGATGCACAAAGGTTCCATTGTGGCTTTGCTTGAATAGTTTTGTTGCCCAAATAGAGCAAAAACAGACAATTAAGTCGAAAATGTAACTCACAATATTGAATTTATGTTTATTGAACTGTTGTATAAAATCAATCATATTTGCAATCATGCAGATATTCAATAAAAACAGCACACTTGCTCGTGTGATATTCGTAATATAGAAATATAAGTCAAAAACATGTGCATGGGCATTTGTATCCCCATATATTGAATTTTGTGATCATTCAAAATACATTCAACTAAGCAACATCATACCGTGAAAGCATGCATTTGTATCTTTTTTTGAAAGAGAGGGGCATACTCAATGCAAGTTTCCACATCATTAAAACAGCAATTATGGTACTATCAGAGACCAGTGGTTCTCAACCACATTCCTAAAGCCCCCACAAAACTGCACATTTTGCATTTCTCCTTTGTTTGACCCACCCATTTCAGGTCTTGGAGTCTCTACTGATGAGTTAAATCAGGTGTGTCTGATTAGGTGACACGCAAAATGTGTGGTGTTTTGGGGGAGCTACAGGAACGTGGCTGAGAACCACTGTCATAGACAATACATATTGCAGAGCCCTAGTGTTACATGTGATGTTTGGGCTGCGGATACCTCTCATCATCCATCTCCAAGCTGGACTCGCTCTCAGAGAGCTGCCGGCACAGGGCCTCCCTGCGCTCCACCTCCCTCTGAAGCTTCCTCTGCAGGCGGATGTTCTCCTCCCGCATGTGGCGCTCTTCTTCTATGTACTGAGCCCTCTTCTCTGTATCTATAAACACACACACTGCAATGAGCAGAGCTTATCTTTATGGTAAAGTCATACGGTAACAGTGCATTTGTTCACGTGCACAACCATGTGACCGTGTGAGAAAGTTTTGGACCTGTTGATGGAACTATCACTTGCTGCCTCAGAGCATATGTTCTTATTTTACAACAATCTTACCAGTGCTATTTTAGTGTCATCGAAAAACTATTATAGTTTTTTATTAATATTCTAAATTAGTGGTAACACTTTACAATAAGGTTCATTAGTTAACGTTAGTTAACTGCTTTAGTTAACATGAACTAAGAATTAACAATACTTCTACAGCATTTATTAATCTTATAATGTTAATTTCAACATTTACTAATGCATTATTAAAATCAAAAGTTGTATTTGTTAACATTAGTGAATGCACTGTAAATGCACCATGGCCTAATGGTTAGAGAGACGACTTGTAACCCGAAGGTTGCTGGTTCGAGTCTCAGGTCCGGAAGGAATTGTCGGTGGGGGGAGTGAATAACCAGCGCTCTCTTCCACCTTCAATACCAAGACTGAAGTGAGACCCCTGAGCAAGGAACCGAAATCCCAACTGCTCCCCGGGCGCCGCAGCAATATGGCTGCCCACTGCTCTGGGTCACCATACTTGGCCACACATCACTTCACTTTACTAACAACGAACAACTGTATTTTCATTGACAAAGATGAATAAATACTGTAATAAATGTATTGTTCATTGTTTGTTCATGTTAACACATTAACTAACATTAACTAATGGAACATTCTTGTAAAGTGTTACCAAATTATATTTTATTCTTATATTTTCCATTTTTCTTTTAATTTATGTTTTGGTAATTTTGTTGTGCTGTTGTCATTTTTATTAGTTTGATTTTTGTTTTTCTTTTAAAAATATGTCTATATAGTTTTTATACATTTTTATTCCAGTTTTAGTTATGTTAATACATCAAGTTAAACTAAATTAAAATGATAAATGCTGCCTTGACAGCTAGCTGAAATATAAAGAGCTTTTTTAACGAAAGTAACGAAAATGTTTATGGTTTTAGTTTTAGTTAACTACAATAAACCATTTATTAAGCATGCACAGGTACATTTAAATGTCTCCAAGGATTGTTGATACCGATGAGGTTTTGCTGAAAATGTCTTGTGATAAACATAACTTGTGACTAGGGCTGCACGATAAATCGCATGCGATATTTAACGCGCATCTGACACCTTCAGCTCTTTACAAGTCCATGCTAAAAAACACTGATTCAATGAAACACCACTTTGGTGTTGTAATGGTGCCAGGACTGTTGAGTAGAAGACTAAGATTATATGAACTATAAAAATACACCATATGGTGTCACAAAAAGCCATGAGAGCACAAGCCCTCATCAGGGGTTCTTCTTGTTAATGTACGTTGTGCCATCTAGTGGCCATAAAATGTTATACAATTTAAAAAAATAAAAATAAAAACTCTTTCTGACCCCAAACCTTTGAATTGTAGTCTATGCTCAAATTGTAATGCATGATGGGTGATATCAGACGAAAAGGAAAGTTGTTTCTGGGGCAGCCCAAGTTATTACATTTTGATACAAATTTCAAAGACAAACAATTTATTTGCAGAATAGAGCCAGTTTTCATTTTATATTGTCAAAGGACCAAGAGGAAATCAAATGGCGTCTGGTACTTACGCTGTAGATCTGCAGTGCGGAGGTTCTTCTTCAGCCGCTCCACCTCACTCTTAAGGAATCGGATGTGTCGCATCATATTCTCAGGTGAGTCAATCTCCATGGAGATGTCTCTCGGGGACGGCGGAGCAGAGACGGGCTGGTCAAGCTTCTCCTGAAGAATCCTGCAGGGTTAAAAGAAAACAGATCTTAAATCTCTTTCATTTAATCTAACCCTTAAAAGTCAGGAAAATGTACATATATAACTGACCTATAAAACACATAAGCAGGTGTTCAGCAAATGCATGTAGGGCACTTTAAATATTCAAAAGTTTTGTTGGCATCAGTACTTTCTCAGTTACATGGTAGTGTTTATATTTATGAGGTGAGCTGTGGCAGTGTTACCCAAACCAGCAGCTACTGACAACAGAACTGCACTGGCCTTTTTTCTGCTTCCAGTTTGTCCATGCGTTTCCATAGCCGATTCACAAGAGCTTCTTGTTCTTGCTCTAAAGTGTTTTCCAAGTCGATCTTTTCACGACTAAGCTAAAAGAACACAAAAGAGTTCAAATATCTGCGAAGAACTGAAAAGAATCTTTTAGCATTCAATAAGCAAAATTTTAAGGAGTTACCTGTTCTAAGGTGAGCTGTTTGGAGATTGTGTCGTTCTCCAGCTTTCTGATCTTCTTCATCAGTTTGTTGACTTGAAACTCCTGCTCCTGTTCTAAGTGCTGCTCCAGTTCAGCCTTCTCATGCTGTAACTGAGCAAGAAAAACGGAGAAAATGGATTTTAAACTGATACAACTATGAAATTAATGTGCCAGACTGAAGCTGCTCAAGCCATATATTTGAAGAAATCCCACCAGAAGAGCTGCCACTTTTGCATAGTTTGTGCTTGCTGTTTTATAATCATTGTGAAACTTAGCAAACTGGCAGCTCCAGTAGTGATGAAAAGATTTATCTTGAACTCTGTCATGGGAACACACATTTGACCAGCGGTTTGGAAAATGGATGGATGGATGATTCAGCTGCAGGTGCCATCTTCTGGCGAGTAGCGGGAATACATTCGGCACAACCCACACAGTGCATTTTGGGTATTTTCCAGCTGCTGAGTGTACATCAGTTGTACACTTGTTATTGCAGTGCATTATGGGATTGAATGAGCGCACTCGACCATGGCCACTATGGTTTCGGACACCACTACAATTGGCTGTCCCTTCCAATAGTGCCCTATTTCAGGGTATAGGAAACGATTTTTAGACACAGCCCTAGTATTTTCTCCATATAGCGTATTATCAACTCTTTTCAACATTGATAATAAAAATGTTTCTTGAGCTCCAAATCAGCATATCACCAATGCTCCCTCTAAGCTGCGCGCGCACGCAGAAGAAATAATGTGCGGCGCACACGCATAAATGAGTTGGGAAAGCCATTTGCGAAAGCGAATGAATTGCAATGCTCGGGTAAACCGCTATAGAGTTGATATCGCTATAGAGTTAGAACCGGTGAATGCGGTTTACAGGTTTCATAGAAAGAGAATGATGTGCGCCAAATGAGTCGCTGCAGAAACGAAATATTTGAATGGTTGCGGACGAGATAGCTCAAATCGAGAGCAAACGCAATGACATGTGAAATAAAACATCATCATGTATTAAAGAAGAGTAGCTTGATTAAGTGCTGGAAATAGCGAATGATAGACACAGAACGGTAACAAAACTAAGAGACATTTAGAGTCACACAAAGGTGTATTGTGCAAACTGTACTTCATAGGGATGTTTAGATAGCTATAGAAGAATTAATGTTAACGTTTTTTTTTTTTATATTTAACTTACAGATCTCAGTTTAAATGCTTCAGTTTGTTTTCTGTTCTATTCTATTCTATCAGTTTAAATGTTTCAGTTTGTTTTGATATTATATTATGTTAGGCCTAAATTATAAACCTAATAAATAATCGACCTTGTCTTTGTTTCAGATAGTCTCTTATGCTCATCAAGGATGTATTTATTTGATCGAAAATACAGAAAAAAAACAGTAATATTGCAACCATCTACGGACACCTTGGCAATTGAATCGCCATTGGCTAGTAAATTTTTTTGTTTACTCGCCAGACTGAAATAAAACTGAGTCTCTTATGCTCATCAAGGATGTATTTATTTGATCGAAAATACAGAAAAAAAACAGTAATATTGCAACCATCTACGGACACCTTGGCAATTGAATCGCCATTGGCTAGTAAATTTTTTTGTTTACTCGCCAGACTGAAATACTATATATATATATATATATATATATATATATATATATATATAACCATGAA